CAGTTCAGCAGAGCAGGGCCAAAATCCACACTGTTGCAACTGGCCTCAATCTATTGAATTTAGTGCAAAGACATTTTATTGAAGTGTAGGCCTGTAACACTATGAGTTTCATCATACATATATGAAGTCATTGCTGTAAATGTTATGTTTTGTTAATTATACATTAAATAGCTGCAGCCCATAAGCAGGAAAATATGATGAAATAAAATGAATTTGAGATAAGCTCAGACAAACACTTTCTTGATCAGAAAATGTATAAATGTTTTGTGTTTTCTTGTTATGGCATTGTTGGGTTTTAGGGACTTAGTGATTGTCTCAGAATGATGTATATTGACAGTCTTAATATTGAGGAGGTGCATGCTATTCTCTGAATAGTTGGGTTTTTTTGGGTTTTTTTCTCCTCTTTGTTTAGGAAGACTAAGGAGTGGTGCAGGCAGAATGTGTTGTGCCGACTGTAGTGATACCTGAGAGGTACTTATTGAAAGTGCCAGGTTTATTTCCAGTCAAGTGTAACATCAAATGTGTAGAACTCCTTCAGCCTTCCCACTCAAATAATTTTGCCATTGTTATTTCTTCATCATTCCTATCAAAAGGCCAAATTTTGCACTCTAATGCCTATGCAGTTTGTCCTTTGAATTCAGAGGAAGCACACATACAGTTTTGGAGGTGAATGTTTTATCTAAGGACAGTGAATGCTTTTGTGCAGGCTCTGCATATTGCTCACTTAGATGAATGGCTAAGGTGTGTGTTTTCCAGCGTGGCCAGTGGAGGGAAAATTTTATTTGCTTCACTTATTTTTTTATAAGACTCATTCACCATGATATATTCTATGAATTAATCTGGAATCTGGAAGATCAGAGTCCCTGGTCTGTCACAAACTGTCTTAGGCAAATCATTAAATTTGTAAGTGTCCCATTTATGATACTCACAAAAAATGAGTTGATCTGTTTGTTCATTTCAATTCCAAATAGGTCAGGGACTGCCTGCTGCAAATTTTTGTCTATGAAATCTTCTAAGATACCACTGCATTTTTTGCTAAAATTGCTTGATTCTACTAGGATGCAAATATTAATTTTAAATTATATCTATTTAAATCCTTCAACATGAGGATCCAGGACAGTTAGCAAATAGAACATTTATCTATGTTCTATTTATCTATCTATTAGAAGATTTATCTATGTCTTGGTTAATTTTAATTGTAGCTATTTCTTAATTTTGAGTTCTCTGACAATTAGGATAAATTTTATAATGAAGACACAACTGTTCAGCAAGAATGGGATTATGGTAATGATTAGAGTTGCAAAGAAATTTGTTTCGTAAGCTCTTAGAAGGGCTAGTTACCTGACCAAAACCAAGATCAATGTGGTTGGTGCTAATTAAAGCAAACAGATTAAGGAAGAAAAAAGGCTTAATCCTGAATTTATAAATGTCATTAAAAGCTTACATGGCTAGTTTGACTTGAGTTTTGTGCACTGTTGGTGGAAGAAAAAATGTCTGCGTTTGTAAGACAAGTAGAATTGAAAAGCAACCTTCAACTTTGTAAAGCCTTTAAAAGAAAACTTTTGAGGGAATAAACATGGCTAAGCCTCTGACGGAGGCCTTTTGGCAAACCACAAATGACTAGTAATTGGCTCTACTGCATTGGGTTAATTAAGAAAACATAGCTTAAAATAGGCAAAAAGCATATTTGTCCATTACACTGATGATGTAAATTATGACAATAACATAGTACTGTTCTTTTTACCCATTTAAAGAGTTTTATTACCATCAGGTATTTCTTGTTGCCAGCACCCTGTGATGTGAATGTAACTACTACTGTAACTACTCTGTTGTACTGGGGACATAAATGAACGTTTGTCACCAAATAGCAGGTAGAAGCAATACTCTGAGGGCAAGGGCAGGCATGACCAAAGCACAAATTTGAACAAATCTGCTCTTACAGACAAATTTAATGTATGTCATTGCAGAGCTGTTGAAACACTGTGCTTCTCCTGCAGCCTTTAGGAAGAAGCTGTTGGGGAGTTGCTAGATCAAGGGAGCTGGCATAGTCCTGCAGAGTACAGATGGTTCAGATCAGAGGCTGCTTTTGCTTTCTTCAGCATCAACCCAAAGCCTCTAATCTCTTCACCATTGCCAAGGGAAGGTGTAATGGCAGAGGGTCTGGCTAGGCTGTCACTGTACCAGCCAGGTGTTAGGCTCTGTTAGATTATTTCCCAGCATACCATTAAAAGGTACTTCCAATGGGACAGTATTGGGTCCAGTCTTGTTCAACTTACTCATCAATGATCTGGATGAAGGGACAGAGTGTACCCTCAAGAAGTTTGCTAATGATACAAAACTGAGTGACTGATACACCAGAAGGCTGTGCTGCCATTCAGTGAGACCTGGACAGGCTAAGGATTGTGCATAGAGTAATCTAATGAAGTTGATAAAGGCAAGTGTAGGGTCCTACATCTAGGGAAGAATAACCCCATATACCAGTACAGGTTAGGGATTGATCTGCTAGAAAGTAGCTCTGCAGAGAAGGACCTGGCAGTCCTGGTGGACAGCAAGTTAACCATGAGCCAGCAATGTGCCTTTGTGTCCAACAAGGCCAATGGTATACTGGGATACATCAGGAGCAGCGTGGCCGGCAGGTCAAGAGAGGTAATCCACCCCCTCTGCTCTGCCCTGCTGAAGCCTCACCTGAAGTATTGCATTCAGTTATGTGCTTCACAGTTCAAGAAAGACAAAGAGCAACTGGAGAGGGTCCAGTGGAGGGTTATGCATTAGGGAACGGGAGCGTCTTTCTTAAGAGGAAAGGCTAGAGAGCTAGGCCTCTTGAGCATGGAGGAGACTGAGAGGGGATCTGATCAATACATACAAATATCTTAAGTGTGGGTGTGAAGAGGATGGGACCACACTCTTTTCGGTGATCCCCAGCAGCAGGATATACAGGGCAATAGGCACAAACAGAAACACAGGAAGTTCCAACTGAACATAAGGAAGAACTTTACTTTGAAGGTGGCAGAGCACTGGAACAGGTTGCCCAGGGAGGTTGTGGACTCTCTGGATATATTCAAAACCCACCTGGATGCATTCCTGCGTAACCTGCTCTAGGTGAACCTGCTTTGTCAGGTGGGAGGTGGCGGTGGGAGTGGACTAGATGATCTTCAGATGTCCCTTCCAACTCCAACCATTCTGTGCTTCTGTGCTTCTGTGTTCTCCACAGCACTAAAAAAAAGCTCCCTGGTGAGCTGGAAAACCAGGCATGTGTTTCCCATTCACTTTCCTTATTTTGTATTTGAGCCCTGTGATTAATAGAAGCCATGGCAACCATTTTTATACGACCAATATATCTTATAGGTGTTTCTAAAGATGTTACAGATAGTTATAAATAACATACTTTGTTCTCAAATTCCTTATGTCTCTGGTGTGTGAATAATAAATAATTACTATAATAATGGAGTAAGTATAATAATAAAATAATGAATCTTTCATATTAATATTTTATGTTATCTTCATAATTTGATGTATGATGGTATAAATTGTGATAAAGTAAACCTGACTTCTAGAATGAATCTCAGACTCACACTTAGACAAGTATATGTATGTATGCACATACTTGCATACTGCACGTTGAGGACAAGAGGTGAGTCTGATAGGCCTCTATGTGCGTAAACAGGTTTTTTTAGGTTGTCATTGTTTGGCAGCTCTGAACAGCCTTGGACTCAGGTAAGTTGATGAATGCTTGGCTGGTAGGGCTTGGGAGACTGGTGGAGATGGTGGTCTTTACTGACATACAGGTTTTCTGCTTGCATGCATAAAATGTGTTTTAATTGTACAGATTCTAAAAGAAACAGACTGAAAGCCACAGTTAAAGGCAGTATGCACACTTACATGCTGTCATGGTTTAAGCCCAGCTGGTAACATGGCACTGCACTAGCTACCAAGAAGGAGAAAAATAACTATTACAGCTGAACCCAGGAAACATGCAAAAACATTTCCTAAAGATGAGATGAGCAACAACAAAATCATGTCCTCAGCTCATACAAATCTAGGTAGCATCAGTGACTTCACTACTAATACCATTGAAACATCTGGGCTGTAAAAAGGGTTTGAAGCTCAATTTACAGCAAAGCACACCTTAATGGAATGCTGGGGTGCAAGAGAGAAATTGATTGCCTTTTTTCTATCCACCCACTGATCAGAATTGAATCAGTGGTATAAACAATTTATTCGTTTTTTAAAAGCCAAACATGCAGTATAAAAGAGAATATCTAATATACCGTAAGTGGGAGGGGGGAAGAAGGACAGAAAAAGGAAAAAATGAAACCATCCCTGGTGGATGATGTAACTCCATTGCACTGCCCGTATTTACACCAGTGTATTTCAGATCAGGATTTACTTCTTGTCCTGGATATTGAATTTATCTCCCACAGCTTTTGTTTCTGTTCACTTCCTAAGCTGCATGCTATTGTGCCTCTTTCTTCTTTTAATAATTTGCTTCACAGTAGTACTTTAGAGGCATAGTGACTAAAATGAGAGAAAGAAGAGAGTACAGAATTCATAATTGAAGCATATTTTTCCTCTCACTTCTGATATTTTCATGCTGTTTGTGTTACCACAAATGTAACTCAGCCTAATTTTGATAACAATGATGCCTGTTTAATCAAAGAACAGGGGATTCTCCTGTGAAACAAGATTTCAATGTAATTTTCACGTTACTTGTCCTTTTCTGTGCCTGCTAAGTTTGTGACACTTTAATTGCTAGCAAATGGAGGACAAGTGGAATGTTTTTTTCAGAGTAATCTTTACCTACTTGCTGGATACATTAAATGTTGTTGGCTTCAGTGCTTGTATTTGAAGTGAATCATAGATCAGAGGAACATGTAATTATGTCAGGTGTTATACAGTGATTCAGCCATGGGAAACTCTTGCCTGAGTGAGGAGTTAAGACAGTTTTATAATTATTTTTTCCAGCACATTAATTTCATTTTTTTAAAACTGTCTCCAATTAGATGTTTACCCAACTACTGTGAACATGGGGGAAAATGCTCTCAGTCCTGGACCACCTTTTACTGCGATTGTAATGATACAGGCTACATGGGAGAAACCTGTCATAATTGTAAGTAAACCCACACATACAGTGTTTTCTACTACAGCTGGTATGTCAAGTTGCACATAAACTAGAGCTTTGTAAGATGTCTTATATCATATCATAGGATGTAGCATGTCCTGACATGATTCAAACCAGTCAATAACTGTGTTGGGAATGCACAGAAATCCATTTGCGTTTTTTGAAGAAAAGAATCAGATTATTTTAAGTAATTTTCAACAATTTTTTCTCTCATTGATTTGGAGAATCTTAAATTCATTAATATTACCTGTACATGGTAGACACATTACTCATAAGACATTTAGGTGGGCTTAGCTGTATTTGGGTTCTACATCAATTTTGGCACCATGGGCTCCTTTGCTTTTAGGTTATCCAAAAGTTCATTTTGCAAGAATCCAGTTTTCAACAACTCATGATTTTGGAATTTTGCTGATACAGAATCTGAAACAGTGGCAGTACATGAAGCATGCAGCTGCTGAAACCCACAGCAAAAGGAATACAATGTTTTAAGGGTTTAAAAGCAACAAATATCAAATGGTAGAAGCACAGCATGCTGTGAATTTTAATAAAAAACAGAAAGGGGAAGCCAAAATAAAACCTGTTCATACAGCTGACTAAAATGGAAAACAGTTAGCAAATGAAGTTAAACTTACTGTTCTGTCACTGGAAATAAAAAGAAAAATAGAGTGAGCAAGAACAATTCCAGGAATACAACTACACCCACTCCAGGTGTTTGATGAGCACTCAGACCACAGATAGGAAAAGATTAGTGAGAAATCCATTTTTTGCCCTGCTAAGCTAAAAAGCAGAAGAGAAGAAAAGGTACTTAGTGGTTTGAAGCTGAGAATATTGGCAACCACACTGTAATTCTGAAGGCTTTAATGGTTTACTAATTAACAGTGAAATCATTTGTGGTGTGGGGTCTGCAGCTGACAGGGGAGGCTGTTGAGAGGTCTATTCATAGATCTGTCACCTGAACCCTACATTGTAAGAACAAAGGAAGCTAAAAGTTTAGTGCTGAATTCATGCCAAGCCACACACAAGATGGGAATTAAAATGCTGAGTTCATAGTTTTGAAAAGACAGTTTAACCTTTTGTCTAATGCTTTTGTTGCTGCAAAGGCATCACCGTTCTTCAAAATCCCCAACCCAGACTGCATGCAGTGATTGAGGGCATAGCAGTGTATTTACACCAGCTGATGTTTTTGATACAAAACTAGATGGCCAAATAGGTTGGTGAGAAGGGGAAGGCTCCTTGGGGAAGGAAGAGACCTGTGGCTGTTAACTGTTAAAGGTGATTAGGGACACTAGACTCTAAGCTATATCTACGTTGTTGTATTAGCTCGGGGCCTGAGGCTCATTATGTCTGTGCCAGCTCAGTGTGTCTGGTGCTCCAAGGAGGAGCATCTCATTACTGCAGAGGATTGGTTCATGACCAGTTTTCCTCATAGACATTTGCATGGATCTAGTCCGTCCTCCCGGTTCTGTGAACTTGAGTCTGCGCTCTCAAAGGCACATACACAGCTATAGATATTTAAGGTTCACTGATGTGTAAAAACTATTCCAAAAAGTTTCTTAGGAAGATCTTGTGTTAAGATTTTCCAGCAGATCAAGCTGTGCATGCATGCACAGCTATTCAGCTGCTCAGTTTATTTACAAACATATTATCAGCATCTAATTTGATTCCAGCTAGATTGTAGAGCCAGATGCCCTGTAAGCCAAGCGATGCTGATAACCAGCAACATTAGTCTGGAGAGATGCATTCATGTGCTTGAAATGTGCAGTGAAGCCATTTCAAAGCCAGTGGGTAAATGCAGGCTGTCAATTAGAAACCTGCAGAACAGGAGATGTAATCACTTTCAGATGATAGTGACTGATGTACAGAAGTACCTTGTAGCAGGTGGATGAAAGCTGCAGATCTGATCACAGCATAACTCTTGAATATCCTTAGTGTACAGGCAACTCTTCCAATCATGAAATTGTAATTCCATGTAGTTCTATCAAAGTAAAACATCTAATTTCTTAAGGTCTGAAACATTATCTCAACAGATTTTGATTTTTGCTAGAAGACTGAGGCTGACAAGCCTGAAATTGAACTTGTATTACTTTGGAGAAGCTATTTCTTTTATTAAACTGCCCTTCAGACACAAGTCCATACGGCAACAGTGGAAAGATTTAACTGGCAATCTGCTGCAAGTCACACATAGTGTGAATAGTTTCAGTGTCATGGATTTTGTTTCTGTGTTGCATTAGTGTTGATTTTGCCTCTTTTGGTGTTTGTAAGAGGTGGGTGTCACTGGTTGAACAACATAAAAGACCCAATCTTTGTCATTCTTTCATGAAGAACTGCAGGACATGCATTTGCAAATAAGAATTAATTGTTTTATGTTTTACCAGCTTAGACTGAGAGACCTTACCATTTAAAGAACTGAAATCTGAAGAGACATTGTCCTTACCTTACTATCATCTGTAATATGTTAAAGTGCATTTTGAGGTTGATACATAAGCAGTCTTACTGGTTTCTTCGCAAATATTCATGGACCACACTGAATCCCACTGTCAAGAACAGGTAACAGTATAGACTATCAGCTCTCCAGAGAGTTTGTAGTTAAATTTTTGAGGGAAAAAAACACGCTAGTGCAGGTGATGGAGAGCCAGAAAGTCTTCATTAGCATCACAGGTGGCATTTTCAGTCTACCAGGTACATAATTATTGCTAGGTTTTCTTGTAGGCAAAAAGTCAAGAGTAGAGATTAAAAGGAGGAAGAAATTGAATGTTTGCAGGTATGAAAGAGTGACATAAGAGAAAGCAATTATGTGCTGGTTTGACAAATATAAGGCCATGGCCAGAGGAGTTTGACATTTTTGACAGGGCAAATGCCAGTCATGACAGGTAGATAGGTTGGAAATATGCCGTGAGAAACAAAGATAAATAGTTTGCATTTAGTGCAACAGAGGGGAAATAGGGCAGAATAGTAAGTTGATAGAAGGCGTAGCTGAGGTGTTTGCATGACCATGTCAGATATGTGGGACAAGATTGTCTGTCATGACCAAAAGTGGGTATAGTTGAAATTCAAGACATGCAAGTGAAGCAAAAGTGCACATCTCAAGACACGTACGAAGAAATAGCTGAGTCTAGACATGGCCTTAATATAATCTTCCTAAAGGCAGTTGATTTTCTGCAAACCTCAGGTATTTTCCTGTTCATTCAAAATCCCTTCCTGTCCTGAAAGGTCTTAAACTGTTACAGGAGTTGTGACTATCTACATGATCCAAATGAGGTTCCATCACTGAAAAGGTGTAGGCTTATGTCCTATTAAATAGCTATTCTGTGGCAGACAAGTTTCATGAACTGCAGTCTCATCTGGTTCTGCTTATGTTCTCTTCCTCTTCTCTGAGTTTAGCTGTAAATACAGGTAGAATACTGGTAAAACCCACTGGTGTTTTCTGGGTTTCAGTAACATATGGGAAGAGTCTGAATGTTTTCTAGACAGGTTGTTTCTTGCTTGCAAAGCTTATTGCCTGATGCATAAGTCCATTTCTCTGATGACAGGTGATCCTCCTTTGCAAGCTCCCGCATGTGCAATATTATCAGTACCTTCCAAGTCTTTTTTGTTTTGTTTTTGTTTGTTTTGACCTTTGGTATGTTTTGTGTTTTGTTTTTTTGGTGTTTTTTTTCTTCCAATGTGGAATGAGGATTTGAATTTAACTCTCATCATTCCAGCTTCCAGTGCAATTCACATCTTGCTGGCTAGTCACAGTCCTGATTAGCAATTGTGCTTTCATCACTCTACTAACTGTAGCTGTGAAACTCCAAAACATATGCTAGTGCCTTGCACTTCCATTTGATGAAAATATAGAATGTGTGCTCACTGTCTCTGGGTGGGGTGTTCACTGCCCACAGTTTGGGAAAACAAGGAGTCATGAAATAACCCGGCAGGATATTAAGTCAATGGTAGGTGAGTTGCTTTTGCTCATGTATGGGTTTTGTTGTGCCTTAGTTTCTCCACCTCTGTTGGGAAAAGGATCCAATTTGCAGGTATATTGTATGTGATCTATATTGTGTACTGAAACACTATGGATTCTTTCCTTTAAAACTGTTATTTGCTTACCACTACTTGAGCTGCTCTGTAGCTGAGACAGTGCTTTGAGAACACAATATTATTTCAGTTCTGTCAAATGCATGGGTTTGATTTTGGTTTGTCTTTTAAATGTGTTTCACACAGCTTGCATTTATATAAGTTGAAAGATTAGCTCAGCTGAAGCCCTTTTAACAATCAATACTTTCCCCATTTCTACAGTGTGGTGGGTAGTTTACTGATCCATCAGGTATTGCAGTAGTCTGGTCTAATCCAGAGAGATAAGAGAGCATCTTTTATGTGATCACCTGTGTGAACCATAGCAAAATAGATAATAATGTAGTGTTTGTTTTCTGTTTTCCTCTTTTAGATAGAAGCACTGATGTTAGTACACAGCTTGGGAAAAAGGCCTGGGTGGGATTCAGCTCATCTGTTTTTGCTGCCTGATACTGTGACATCTAATCTAAGATAGTGGTGTGCTTGCTTTCTGTGCATAACAGAGTGTGAGCTGTTTTCAGAACTTGACTAATATCACTGTGAGATAGGTTGTCCAAGGTAAGTTTGTGGGCCACCTCTGAAACATACCAATGTCTGTCATCTATAGAGGGAAGTTGTCTTAGCTTAGACATACAATAGGGAACTGAAGCTAGATCAGAATTATAGGGTGGGAGAGAGAGAGAGAGAGAGAAACAGAGGGAAACAAAAGTTACAGGTGTATATATATACAAAATATTTTAAATTGGAAGGTCATAGTTTAAAACCTGCATAGTCATCTCTCTCATACTATTAATTCTCCTTACACTCACCAGTGTAAAATGGCCCTGAGATACAGAATGCTATAACTTTATTGCAAGGCAATGGTTAGTAATCTCCTCTTTCTATGAGTTATGTTAGTCTCTTAGAAAGCCTCGTCTTTCCCTTCTGTATTTCTA